ACTTTGGGTGATCAAATTATTAAAAGGTGTAAATGATTTAGATATCTTGGGTCCGTTGTCCAAAGCGATGGTGATATAGATGGGGATGTTAATAGTAGAATTCAAGTTGGTTGGTTGAAGTGGAGGAATGCTTCGGGCCTTTTGTGTGATAGAAAAGTATTTCTTAGACTGAAAGGAAAATTTTATAAAACGGTGGTGAGACCTGCAATGCTCTATGGTGTTGAATGTTGGCCTTTAAAAGAGAAGCATAATAATAAGTTAAGTGTTGCCGAAATAAGAATGATTAGGTGGATGAGTGGCTTTACACTTAGAGACAAAATGCGAAATGAATATATTTGTGATAGGGTTGGTGTAGCTCCTGTGATGGAGAAATTTAGAGAAAGTCGTCTTAGATGGTTTGGTCACATTAAACGTTGACCATCTGATGATCCGATTAGGAGAGTAGATGTTATAGATTCGACTTGTGTTAAGAAAGGCAGAGGTAGACCTAGAAAGACTTGGGCTTATTGTATTAAAAATTATATTAATTTACTAAAACTAAATGAAAATATGACACTGAATAGGATGCAATAGAGAAAAAGGATTCATGTAATCGACCCCACGTAGTGGGATTAAGGCTTTGTGTTGTTGTATATAAGCTTAAGTGTTTTGTAAGTCCAGATTATAGAGGATGCAACATAAAATCACAAACAAGGTATATGTGGCATGCAATGTTGATGTATGCAGAATGCGTTGTCGGTGTGTTCAACATGAACAAAAAATCAGTGTGACGTGAAATAACCAGTGCATGTGGGAAGCAACAATGAGTGTGTGCAACATGCCACAATAACTAAATGCAAACTGTAACAATAATTATGCGCAACATGCACTGTATATATGATAACTAGATTTGAGTCGAGTTAGTTCAACCCGGTAGTAGAGTCGGGTACAATCCATTATCCACCTAGCAGGTATTTTAATGAGTCGCCGCTATATAGATATATAACATGCATATTATGAGGGAAATTGTCCGCTTGCTAGCTAGGAATTCACCACAAAGCTCACATGTAATTGCATTTGATATCTACACGCTTATCTCAATGAGCAACACACATTGGCATGAAATTTACAAAAAAACTAATGGTCATGTTTGCAAGTCAAAATACATAATCATATAAAAAAATCAAATAAATAAATAAATTTTACCTCAGCCAGTGCTCGAAGTAACTAGATGTGAATGTGGGAGTCGATGATGAGGGTTGAGGCTTTGCGAGAAGTACAACATATTGAGAAATTTTAAGTGTGGGCTGGTGTACATTAATTATATATTATGTGATATCTTAATTTTAAACCTATTAATTTGTGACCAAATAAAGATTAATTATGCGGCATTTAAGGCATTTTATTTTTGGTAAGGAAGCCAGGTATTTAATGATGGGACATTCAATATAAATAAGGTCATATTTCTCAGTCTAAAAGGTTTCTCATTTTGCTCTCATCCTCTCTTTAGCAAAAATAAGAATCGCTCTCTCTCTCTCTCTCTCAAAAACAACGTTTTAGAGGTGATAGGCCAAAAACCCATTATTCGTATTTCATCAGATCCAAGCAAACTTTCAATTATATTTCTTCTATGATTTGAAATGAGATTCAAATATGATGGATTAATTTTTCATCTTTATATTTTTTAGTGCAGCATGTGACAGCCTTATAAAGCATGTATGGCTAGGGCATGCAATATAGTGCGGCAATGAACTTGTAGCGATCTCCCAGATGCATTATATGTAAGAATAAAGAGAGAATAAGAGAAAGAAGGTGAGTGACAAAGAAAAAAGAAGAAATGTGCTTCGGTGGAAATGAAGTCAGAATTAAGAAAAAGAAAAAGGATGAAGAAGGAGAGGACTAAGAAGAAGATTGCCAATTTTAAACAACTAGCATACAAAATAAATAATTGAATACCATGCTGAATTTAGTCAAGTTGGATGATCAATAAGACTAAACTGCCACTCTAATATCAAGTTCAATGAATTAATTGCTGCTACATAAAAGAATAATTCCTAATTATGACAATTTTTCTCTGAATGACGACTGATATGGTGATATACATATATACATTTACTGGAGTTACATTATTACCCTTAACTGTCTTCATTTATTCAGTTATAAGAAATTTCTTCAATAATTACATCATTCAGTCTGATTAAGATAAAATGCAATTTAGAAATTACTGCCATAAATTGTGAGTCCCACGTTTATTTATCATTTCTCTTTCACTATATCGAGATCAAGAGATGAATCCCTTAAAAAATATTACAAATTATTAAAACAAAATATAATATTCAATCAATTATATCAAAGCTCAACACAAGATTCACACCATATAGTTGATTAAATCATACACTCAACAAGGATCCAAAAAGTCATCAATTTGTAAGGACAATGGAATGATTTATTCAGTATACAATCGAATTAAGAATGAGCGAACAGCAAATAAGCCAAAGCAACAATTCTACAGTTTATTCATCAAATACATAATATCTAAATCTAACAATTATAGCTGAATATAATTACATCAAAATATCAAAAAGATAAAATATAACAGAGAATTCAACAAACAAAGTATATCATTTTTCTTTTTCTTTTACTTTGCTTTTTTTTCCTTTTTCTTTATTTCTTTTTTTTTTTCTTTTGTTATCAGTCCTGTAATTAAAGTAATGATCGATAAAATTTTCAATATGTTATATATAATCTTGCAATGCAACTGATAAAGGCTATAGATGACCAAGAGTTAAATTTGAAATAATCTATCAACTATTTTCTGTAAAATTGATGTACTCTCTATAAGCTTTGCAATATAACAACTCTGTAAATGCTATATAATAATGTATGTGTTACATACCTTGGAACGTCAAAACCATGAAATTTAGGTCTTTTAACATTCTTCAGAGCAATAAAAATGGATTTCCCCAACTTAAAGCCGGAAACTTGCAGCACTTGCCGCCAATATTACTTTCTAAACAAACTCTCACAGACCAAATTCAACCTCCAGTAGCCCTTCTTCATGTTCGCCATCTTCTCAAGTTCTCCTAATCCATACCTGAAACCTCACTCTGCTGTTCGGAGGCAACCTCCAGGTAACAGAAACCTAAACTTATCTGCATTCTCAATCAAATACCGGGGCAAATGAACCGCAGATGCTGATCTCGGTATCGGAACCATCTTCCTAATCAGCTCCGTGAAGCTGTACTCCTCAGGCAACATATCAAACAGATCACCTCCTTCACAAATAATCCCCTGTATCCTTTCATGATCCAAGAAGCTCTTTCGCCGCACCCTATCAGCATGACTGTAAGCCACCATCTTAAATACAAATTCCTCGATTCTCCGAAAGCAGAAGCTGCAATGCCATCCTGCATCCGCTAGAATCACGTTACTTCGACGTGAATGCCTATACAAAACCCCCGGCCTATATACATTCGCCGTTGCACGCCAGCTGCTGAAATCCACAGGAAACTCGAAAGAATACATGTAATGCCTCAGTTCCAAGTGAAGCACTGGAGGGATTCCGTCGCACCACTGAAGAAGCTGCAAGGTGTTCGGGCTTGGAATCTCATCAGCATCTGCCATGATAATAATGTCGCCGTCGGCGATCCCGGATTGACGGATGAGAGAATTGACAGCGGAGCGAAGGATGGATTCCATTCGGAAAGGGGGTTGAGGAGATTGGGGGTTTGTGAAGGGGGCGAATCGGGCGTAGAGGAGTTTATCTTTGGCGAAATCAAAGCGATGAGTGTTAAGAAGGAAGAAGAGGGGTTTGGTGAGGCTGGTGAAGGTGGAGTTGGATTCGAGCAGGAGGAATCTATGGACGAAGGGGAGGAGGGAGCGGTAGCGGACCTCTAGGAGGTCAAGCTCGTTACTGAATAGGATGGCATCGAAGATGCGACGAGGGGAAGGGCGTAAGGACCAGCCGTGGAGGTGACAGAGAAGGGGGAGTGAGACGTTTTCTGCGTAGAAGTGGGGAAGGCGGGTGAAGGGGAGGGGAGGGGAGTCCCAAAGAGGGCGCAGTAGATATGGGAGGTGGTGGTGGTGGTGGAAGAGCAGGAGAAGAAGAGAGCTGATGGCAATGGAGGGAAGGAGGAAGAGGAGGAGGCGGGCACCGCGAGGGTGGGGAGGTCTTCGAGCCATGAGTGATGAGAATGGGGCGTGGTCCCGCTTGCTTTTGGAACCGGTTCTAAAAATCGATTAATTTTGGGGAGGAAGTTAGATTATGTGTTTTAAATACGCCACAAAATATATTTTGAGGACTCTTTGTTGTATGGAATATAAATTATGTTTAATGTGTGAAATTAAAATAATCACATTTGGACTTTTTGGATTTCTTTGTTAGTGATATAAATAACATGGGTTTGTAACTATGGTTAGCCAAACATTTAAATCTTATGAAATCATCATTTTTCAAAAAAAAAATAATCAAATTTTATTATTTGTTAAAAATTTATCACAATATTGTCGTTGATTAATGTCTTTATTTTACACAAAGATTCAACTACATGCATAGATATAAAAAACAAAAGTTATAAAAAATAATATCCCTCGTATTTTACATGAAAATTTTTTAAAGTGAAAAAAATCACTAGATTTGGCCCAACGAAATATATGCATTATACGTTTCAATTTATATAGTTTTGCTCTTTTGTCTGAGTAGAGAATGTGGGGTTACTAAATTTTGACTGAGTTATAAAGATGAGAAGAGTTGCTTGGAAATAGTAATCAGATTGTAACAAGCATCAGGGGAAAACCTCTGATGGGTGTTAGTTTTATAATATTTTCAAGAGCGTGGAGTTGACTCTTTGCTTCCATTCATGTTATTCATGCTAAAAATGAGGTCATAATTATAAATTTTTGGTAGGAAAGTTTTTATAAATTTAGCCAAAATCCTATGACTTATGATTATATTGATTAATTTGATCATGGATTGTTCTCTTAGCATTTAAGTATTGTAATAATCTCAAATTTGATTGATTTTAGGCTCATTGAATTCTGCTCATCAAGATGCTTGGTTTGATTTTAAGCATGCCACAATTGAAAATTATTCTACATTTCAATTAGTATTTAAAAACTTTTGATCATAATTCATGTGTTTTGTCCTAGCTCATTTTTGCTCGGATTGAATCTCTTTTAGTGTTATTAGATTTGTATTGTCTAGATGATTAGTTGACCTATAAAACTGTTAACATTAGAGCTTAAATGATTTTGAATTTGAAACTAAAACTCATCCTATCAAGATTTAATGTCTAGTCGTTCAAAATTTTTGTGACAAAATCAAAATAAATTTGTACGTATAAAGTGATAATTATTTCCACATAGATTCAAAATATTTAAATAAAATCATTTTTTTAGGACTTTTTAAAGTGTTTGTCTCTAGATTTTATATATATTCTAATTATGTTTAAAAAATCGTGACCATCTCTATATTCTATATTAATTCTAACTTCATTAAGTAGAGAACTAATAAAAGTTGGTCTAGGCTCTTCTTTAGTTCTCAAATTAATCTCTTTTAGTTCTTCAATTGTTGATTTTATTTCTTTTTCAAACTAGCCAGCAATAATCATACAAAATTTCATGTCATCAACCGACCCTATTGTGTCGAATCCAACACCTTCTCGAGAGTTAAATGCTCGATTTTTGTTGTTACAAAGTTATTTAAAATGGTGCAATTTATATTTCCACTATTGTTTAGGTGCAACACCACTTTGAATAAGTTTTTGAACACTCAAAAAATACCATTTAACGAGCAATTCCTTTAATTCAAAATAGATATCTTCTTCTAATTTTACATTAATCTTTAAACTAGACTAAGCAAATTGAAGTGAATTGTCATTTTATTAACGACCATCTCAAGAACAAGCATATTATTCTTCATCATATCACGAGCAAAGATTTGCATGCCCATATCTTGACCAAACCCTTACCAGTTGCCACTCATACGATTCTTACTGGCAAGTTGACAATCTCCACCGTCGATCCTCATCTTGAAGGGGGCTAATAGAGGAATGGACTTCACGAACCTTCAATCTGCTTCAAGGTCTCTTCCATTCTCTCAGTCTCACTTACCGCTAATCCTCTGCTCGGTTAGGCATTAGGTCGAAGCTGTAAAAGAGGTTTTTATATTAGATATCAATTCAATGTAATGTCTGTTTTGCCCTTTGACAATATTACAAAATTGCCACTCCTCTTCTTATATAATCACAATAGCATTATGTTAATAAGTATGTTGAATAAGATGTATTCTCAGCACTTAACTTTTTCAGGTTTCTTCTTTCATTTCATCTCCTGTTTATCTATCTTCATTTATTCAAGTAGTTGAATATATTAAAAATTGATTCTTGAATATGAAAATTTAGATGTTAGATATGTAAGGGTCCGTTTGGGGCAGCTTGTAAATGCGGCAGCGTTTAGGGTCTATCTGTTTGTTTCGCACGTCCGGACAAATTATTTTAAAATTACGTTTACTTTTTTTTTTATTACACGCAGATCGCAGGGTTATACCCGCAATCCGCGTTTTTGTTCGTCGTTTTCCACCTCTACCCCTCCCGCACGACAAAACCTAGCCTTCACCCCGAACCTTCGCTCTCCTTCGCTGTACTGAAAGTCATTCGAAGTCGTCGCTCTCCTTCACTGCGTTGAAACCCATTCAAAGCCTTCGAATCCGTTCGTTGCTCTCCGTCGCCGAAAGCCAGTCTCCCCCCTCCTACACATCCTTTGTCGCTCTCCTCCGGGCAAGGAAGGTAACCTTCGTGCTTCTCCTTCTTCCGTCCAGCGAGGAAGGTAACCTTCGTCCGATCCTACCCGAAAACCAGCGAGGATCCGAAAACCAGCGAGGAGGGTAACCTTCGTCCTTCTACTCCTTTCGTCCGATATGTCTGATCCTTCCGTCCGATTTTAGGATGTTAAAGATATATATTTTTTCGTTTATTAAAGATAGGTGTTATGCATGTAAATCCCCCTAAAATTTTATTTACAAATCCTAAATATTTATTCATTGTCAAAACTAAAACAAAATATAGATATTATTTTAATTATGTTTTGCCCAATTAATCTTCATAACTTCTTACTTTAAAAAAATTAAATAATAATAATAATAATAATAAGTAGATTTGGTTGTAATATTTGATGTTTTATTCTAAACAACTTCAGTTGATTTATGTTGCGAGTGTTTAGTTAAGAGTAGCTGACGAAATATTTGAAAAAAAGTTTGAAAACTTATGTTCAAATTTATATATCTCTGTGGATAGCTTTAGATGTTCATAAACTTGGTTATTGAAGTTATAAATTTATTGAAGTTATTATAAATTTTAAAATTAGTATAAAATATAAATTATTGATTATAATTTATGTTGCACATAATTAAAAAATGATTTTTGAAAAATTAAAATTAATAATGTCTGAACGACATTTTATCAAAAAAAAACTGCAAATCTATTATTTGCAAAACGCAAAACCAAACAGCTAAACAACTTATCCAGTACAGGGACAAGGTGGTCATTTATCCGGAATAAGCTGTTTTCCGAACGCACAAACCAAACAGCTAGCCAGCTTATTCGGATCAGTAGATTATCGTGATCAGCTGGTTATCAGCAGAAGCTGTATAAACTGCAGCTGCCTTAAACAAACCCTAAATAAGAATTGTGTGATATATATATATATATATATATGTAAATATCTAAATGCATTTTAATATGAAGATTCAGATGTTAGACATATAAATACATAGGAATTATCTGGTAAGCATGTAAATACCTTTATGTAGAATGGGGTTTGACGCTCCGAAAAACTATTACATCAAAACTCCGCATGCAGAGCTATTTACAGAGTCTAATCTCGTACTGATACATGGAAGACTAACTCACTTACATAAAAAATAAAAATAAAAAAATTTAATGCGTGACTCAGCTTGACCGATGCGTTACAGAGCTAAAGCAAATATTTTTTTGCATTATTTATCATTGCCGCCGTGTTATATGATTATTCCCTCATGTTATTCTGAATAACACATAAATAACACATAAATAACACATTAAATAACAAAATAATAACTAAAAAAATATTCAGAATAACTCGAGGGAATATTTTTATAACACAAAATATTCCTAAACCCTCAATAACATATTAAATAACTATAAGTTATTAATAAAAATAAATTGTGACATCTAAATAAATTTTTTTTTGTTTCATAACACACAAATAACAAACCAATAACACATAATAACACAATTATACACAACTTAGCCCGCGGTATAACACGTGGGGAATATTCTCTGTGTGTTATGTCGCGAGTTAAAACGTCGCCCCACGTGTTATACAACCGCCCTATAACACTCTCATAGCTCACGGTATAACACGTATGAAATATTCTCCACGTGTTATACCGCGGGCTAAGAAGTGTATAATTGTGTTATTATGTGTGTTATTATCTGTTATTAATATGTTATTATGTGTTATTATGTGTTATTGAGTGGAGAATATTCATATACTCTCAATAATACATTAATAACACACGAATAAAAAAAAATATTCACAATAATAATGAGTCGAAATATTTTTATCTCTCTAGAACGCATCGGTCATTATTTTTTTACGGAGTCCTAATAATTTTTCCAGCCGCTCCCGCGTTTCATCCATCAAACATCTCCTCGTCGCCGGCGAACTTCCCTCAGCTGCCATCGTCTCTGCCAAGCGCATCCAGCTTACATCCACCAATCTTTCCGTCGTGATCGACCATCTTTATCGCTCCCCGTGTTCTCACTTTCTGTTTTCCCTTAAGCCCTAAACGCTTTCCCGACCACCTTTTCACTCGCATTTGGAAGCAGGCAGAACACATAAAACCCAATAGTCTCGTTATGATTCCATTCACTGAAGCGAGAGAGCAGAAACACGATGGATTTCGCTGCGTCAACTGTGGTCGGAGGGTTGGCAGATTGTTCATGCAGTATTCTCCGGGAAACATCCGTCTAATGAAATGCGTAAGCGACGCCGCATTATGAATTTTGCCAAGCATGCTCCAACTCACTCGATATTTATTTCAATCATTGTTTTACTCCCTCCTGTTATCAGGATAATTGCAAGGCGGTCGCTGATCCGTATATCGAGTGTGAATTCATGGTAAGTAGATCCCAACACTTTTTGCGGAGCATTTGATTTTAACGCAACTTTATATGGAAAACACGAAAGGGCAAACTGATATCATGGATTAAGTTGCCTAAACGGCGGATCATGTTTGTGGCTTCTTTCTCACAGTATCTCACCCGAAAGATTCAAATTCATTGTCAAATAGTTCAAAACACTTGGTATGATTTTCTTGCAATAGATAACTAAATTGAATATAATACCTGCATTGATTTTTCCATTTGAGCATCATAGCAGGTTGCTGGCATGTGATTAAGTTATTGAGATGGCACCAATGGAGTTACATGCTGTTGAGTTTATGGATGTGGTTTTGATTTTGTTACTTATTGATGTCTCTGGTATAAATTCATGAATACCCACGCATCAAGTCATTAACTCTATATCTGCTGTATGGTGTCACTTCTACAAAGTTTACAATTTATGCCTAGCATATATTTTGAAGAAACTGGCATATCCATATGGTAATAAATAGTGTTACAGCAGATATTGCTATTCTTGTTCCAAAAGCTTAATTGTCTTGCTATTCTAAAGACAAGATTTACGGCAACGGAATTATTAAACTGAGAACACTAACTAAAACTAATGTTTTACTTTTTCCAGAAGCACAATTATACAATTACATTACAGTGGGATACTTATAATATTATTATAGTTCTTATAAATAAATATATAATAGAGAAACGTTTTGTTATATACTTCCACTAATTATGATGCTATTACAACTGTTATGCAATTGATCAGTTCATATGGATACCCATCCAACACAACACAGTTTGATGAAATGATCTTGCATGATGGTATTGGATTTATAGATGTTCCCTTGTCACTGGTCTTATAGTCTCAGCACCAATGAAAAATCAGGACACCCGCGTTAATATACTTAAGATGATTAATGTAAAAAAGAGATGCATGATACATTAGGAGAAATTTAAGGAGGAAATTGTAAGAATAGCAAAGACGATAAACAATAATTATAACTCATATCGTTGTCATTGGGGTGAGAGTACAAGGATATTTGTTTGTTAGAATAAGCATTAAATTTTTATATGAAATCATAATCAAGTACGGATACAGTTATAACCCCAATGTGATAGCAAAAGAATTCAAACCAAGATTTGAATGGCTTGTCTTAAAAGGGCATAGTTTATTGGAGAGGTGAGAGAGGATCCAATCTGCCGGAAACCACAAAGGCACAAACAATGTACAAAATAAAGTGATCATTGCGTGTCATTCTTAAGAAATGAATTGGAAGATCTAGTCATTTGATCTTATTGTTATCATTGCACACACTGTTGGAAGAAGTCTCGTGATTTGTGACACTGCATCTAGAAAACTTCCATCTAAAAGCTCTTGTTTGTGTTGATGCCTCGAAAAAACCTTGAGAGCCTTCCAACTGTTTAAACACTTGAGGCGCAACCAATGGGGAACTTATATACTAGCAGCTCAATATACCTTAAAATTGAGAAAGCTTGTTTCCTTAATCTTTGGCTGTCGAAAAAATTCTACAAATAATTGGTAGCATGCCCGCAACAATTTTCTTCCTTAAAATTCATCACAAAGAAATATTATTCGGCATATAATCTTTTGTAATCATGCATTTCAATCCACTTGAAATCTATACATGGAGATAAGATTTAATTCCATACTTATTTTGATCCAATTCAACACATGTTGCACATGACAGACATAGCTGCTCATGAATTACTTGCACTCATCTATATGCTTCTACTCATTATATAGAGAAGTATTGGTAAGTTATTTGCTTATTTAGATATATCCCAATGAGGTAGAAAATAATTATATTGTAAACCATGAATATTCACACTTGTACTAATTAATTATGTCTTATTTTAGTCATAATTTACATTTAATAGTCGATATAGTAAGAATTGCCTATTTTAGTGCATATCATATCAATATATCTCCTCAAATTAATCTTTATTTGTCAAGGAGCATCAATTTGCTGGCAAAAAAAAAAAGATTTATTTTTCACCTAATTGCCTTCATAAATATGCGTATGATTTAAATATTTGTAGAGTCATTAGGAAGATGAATTATATGAGTGTCGAAAGTTTCTCAAATCGAGTGACAGTTAACTTTAATGTAATTTTTTTTGCTAATGAGAAATTTGATTGATAGTGATTTTGATTGCGGTGATATTGTTTGCATGTAGAGGAGTGTGATTATTTTGAGTAAAATCAAGTTTAGATAAAATTTTACGATGCTAGATAATTTTTGAATTTGTTGAATATATCAAGTGGTATTTGAACTATATAGAAGATTTTTTAACACATGTGGCTTTTACTTCTCTATGAGATCAATTAATCACAAAAAACGTTCATCAACATTTAATTGATTGCCGAGTATTAAAATACCCTACTGAACATCTAATTGAAATGTTTGGGTGACTAAAGATTAATGATAAAGACTTGCTAATTTTAAGATGGTGTGCTTTTGCTTTAGGTGATGAGGAAAAATACAAAAAAAAAAAAAAAAAAAAAAAAAAAATAAAAAAACTAAAGGTGAACAACTATTTCCCTTAAATCAAAGCAAAAGCACGCCACTATAAAATCAGGAGGTCCTTCTCCTTAATTTTTAGCCACCCAAATATTTCACAAGAAATTTGAGAGATATTGCTAATCGCTTCAATTCTGCAACAGGTTTTGTTCATAAAATCATCATGAAAGAATATTCATTGACCTATAATCATTTGCAATAGTATGCATGACAGCCCACATGAAACCTGCATGGAGTTAAAAATAGATCCCATGATTATTTGCAAATGTTTTTTGGATATTGAAGAAGTTTAATCTTTAATAATTTTTTACTTTTCTTCTACCATAATTCGATAAGTTAACATAAACAACATTCATCATATTTTTTGATAAGGAGAGTTCTGCTTGCTAAGCATCTTGCCTTTTCACTTATTAATAAATTCTCTGTGAGTCATCTTAGAATGGAGGCAATTTGAAACTTGTTGTGAGATTTATAGTTAATAGGTGACTAGTAAGCTAGGCTCATCAATCCTCAACATGTTATTATAAGGCATTCTTTGGAAGCGTATTACGTTAAACTTCTCTCAAGATGCTTATGTAATATCTATAGACTCTTGATTCATCTGTTAAAATGGTTAATCCTATTTTGATTGCTCTTAAGAGATATCTGTCACTTTTGTTTGGGTCTTATTTTCATATTTTTATATGCACTTTTTCAACCAATCTATCTTATTCACCTTGAGTTTTATTTTTAGAAAGCCTTTATAAGTGGATGCTAAATTTGTTTTATTAGGCCCTTTGTGGCTAGGGTATTGATGTAATATAAGTGGCCTCTTGATCCATATGTTAAAATGACTCCTATTTTGATTGCCCCCCCTATAACTCTTGTTTGGGTCTTATTTTCATAAATTTATTCGCACTTTTTCACCCAATCTATCTTATTCACCTTGATTTCTATTTTTAGAAAGCCTTTATTGGTGGATACTATGAAAACTTGTTTTATTAGGCTCTTTGTAGTTAGAGTCTTGGTGGAATTGGAAGACATTATAACCCTTTTTTCACACAGAGGTTTAGATTAGGTCTGCTTTACCTGGATTTTGGCAGAGGCAAAATTTGAAAACATGACATCATATTGTTCCTTTTTTCATACCTTTGGTATAAATGCTTTGAATTTTTTAAGCTATTCTCGAGATGAAGAATACTAAAATTTAGGCACGCAATCTCCACAAGTTGCTCATAATTATCCTCCTATTCCCTTGATAAAAGATTCTCCTCACTGCTTGAGGATTGTTACCAAAACTTGGAGCTAGAATCTATTTCTCATATACTGATAATGACTGATGTTTCTGTCTTTGCTGGCCCTGGTTGTTACTTCAACGACCGTTGATATTATTATAGATAAAATTCTGCTAGTTTTTGAAATGCATCAAATTTATCCTATTTGTTAACATAATGGTTATTATTTCTCATAATAAATTTTTAATTCTAATTGGAGCATTTATAATGCTAACTTTCGTATGGATAAGAGATTTCGCGTTCTTCATATCAAAAGGGGCGTGAATCAGAAGAAAATTCTTTGTCACTCACCTTTTTTCATTAGACTTTAAGCTAGATAATCTAAATGAATACTATGCATTCTTTTTCATGCTGTGTTATTTTTCTTTTTGCCATAGCATTACTTTGTAAATGCCCTTGTATCTTCATAGCATTATCTAGTTTAAAAAAGATCCCATGATTTGATTCAATAGAAGTTACAACTAAGGTTGGAAGCAATATTTAATCAAATTATTAATATTTTTTTGTGATATGTGTTAACTATTAAGGGCTATTTGAGCTGTGTCGTTATTGGTAGATTAGTTTCCCATGCTCCTCTTTAAGTATGATATTCAAAAGGTGCATCTCATATCTACATTATTCTAATTCAAGCCTTATCCTTTTTGTACCCTATTTTCTTTTCATTTTACTTTAAAAAAGCAATTAAGCGCAAAGCAATCATTATTATTGTGTAACTCCTATTCTTTTTGTGCTTTGCATTCCTTTTAATTTTAGCGGGCCGTTTTCTATCCTCTCTGCATGATAAGTACATTATCTTTTGGATCCTTACCGCTTTAAACTAGCTTGATCCAAATCCAAGGTAGAATTTTCTCCAAAAGCCTCAGGACTCATCCTGAAGTTTTCAACACCTATTTCTTGACTCACCTGTGAGTTAAGAAGACTTGGTCAACCCAATTTGAATAAATCAATTTATAGGGATCTACTATTTATAATTCATTATTTTCTTCAGAAAATTGATTTTCAATTAGCTTAGAGACTCTATAGGTTATCAAGAATCGTCTTTTAATGAATTCCAAAACTGTGAGCCCATAGTCTATCATGTTTGATCATGTGACCCATTTTGGCTTAATAAATGTTTTAGTAAAATCGACCAAACAAATTCAACCAAATTTTGGTTTTAAATGAAAAATTGGACCTTAAGAATGATTTGACTTTCCTTGTGTATAATAGAACAATGCAGATATCATCCTTTTGAGAGCTGATTGATTGCCTCCTCTTCTCTCTCTCTCATTTTGTCATTGCCTTTTCACTTTTATATAAGGGGCAGATCAATTGAGAGAAAGATTGGGTGTCTTTTTTTACATTGCACTTACCCTTTTGAGAGCATTTTGCTCACCTTCTTTTACCTATGCAATTTTGCCAAATATAGCACTTGCTCAAAGCATCTGAAACACATGAGTCGGAACAGTGCATTAGCATACTTCAGAAGATGGATTGCTTATTGTTCTTGTTAATGTGGAGATCGATATAAAACCACCCTGCTGAAATATTAGGACATACTTGAACTTGATGGAATAAGTGAGTATTTTAAATAAACCATAGGTTTGTTTTAAATTAATCAGTCATTTAACAGAAATGTGCTATTATAGAGTTTTTGAGCTTGATAAACTTGATGCTTAATCTGGTTGTATTATGGTTGTTTAACATGATGGATATATTATGGCTCATTCAACACTTCAATAAATTATTTTTATTGGTCTTCACGCCAATGGAAAGAATTTATACACACTTGTTCATCTTTGCGGCCTTTTCTATAGTCTATTATTACCTTTACTCATATGTTTGTAAATTACATTTGTTGCAAGTATGACCAAGTCCCAAAAGCAAAGTTTGTTATCTTAAAAAAAAGGGTATACATAATGCAAATGCATTATTTAGAGGAGGTTTTGATGCATTGAGTATCACTCTGTATGGTAAAGAGTTTAGTTAGCCACTGGCTTTGGTTTCACTGTTTTCATTTCAGCGTCTTTATCTTCTAACATTAGTATTTTCTCATTTCTTAGTTGTTTTACAATAATAACGCAGACAATATTTTTTATTGATTGAACACATTTCAATTGTCTAGATTATTTTTATTGATCTGATACTGCACAAGCCTAAAGCATTCCGGCATCTACTGTACAATGTGCTGAATTTGGAGAAGACTGACTTCAAGGTAATTCAAAGACGTTAGTAATAAATTTAACCGAAATGTCTTCTGATCATTTAATAAATTATGGAAAGAGTGGCCCACCAGTTTTTCATGTCTTACATTATGTAATGTACATGTTTAACTTGATGTTGTTTCGACCAGTGCTAATATATGTCAAGTTTGGATTTTTTGTCTCTTAAAATGGTAGTTGGATTTGTATCTATTTATTTTGTCTTTTTATGCAGGATAGTTTTTTAGGATTGTTAATCATGATGCACTGATTGTACTTGTTGGTATAGTTTGTCATGAATTTAGTTGGTGAAATTTATAAAAAGAATCTTTTGCCTCACCTTAAACGAAATTCAATCAAAATTTATAACTAAAAACATCCATGCGAGGCACTTGCTGGGTGCTATGGTTGTCCTTTCCTGTGCTTGCTCTCGTCTCAAAAATATCCAAAACAAACTTCGAAGGATTCAACTTTCCTGAAATGCACCACCGCTATGTAGCAGACCACACCTAGTGCTATGTATAGAGGGTTTACCCATACAATGATTTAACACCACTTCAAAAGTCTTTTCATAAATCTTGAATCAATTATTATTGAACATAATCACTACTGTACATAAATCCAGTCTACTATATATATATATATATATTAAGATCATATGAAACCATATATGAAACCATCATTCCATATGCACAGATAAGATCCTTACAAACTGTAAAGTTACATCAAAATAAGGCACATGTTTATTTACTTTTGTCCTTGCTACAATCAGACATACGTGTATGTGCGTGTGTGTGTGTGAGAGAGAGAGAGAGGGTGCGCGTGCTATGGAGTGAACAAAAAACACAGCAAGTAAGATGGACAATATGCATTATTATTCATCTAAAATGTATGTAATGGCAATTTAAATAATTGTAATTTGACTTATGCCAAGTTTTTGATGCATAATGAAGTCATACAATTATTGTATTATTGCATTATATTATGCTGTTGATTGTAACAAATCATGTTTGGAACAATCACAATATTTGAAGATATATAATTAATTATGTTATCTCTTCTAACATAAATTAATTGATATCATTTATTGTTTATTTTCATTCTTGACATTCATGAACATGAAGATTTAACAATGTGGAAGTATGTACCACAGTATAACTTATCATTCTTTATATACTATCACAAGTGGTAATCCCTATCAATTGCCATAATCATTGTATTTCTTCCTATTGGATGTACAATTGCCAAACTCAGTGGTGCCTACTTCTAATTTATATCATCATTTTTACAATCAATTAGGGGGCCAACTACCTACTCTCTTGTATTATCACCATGACAAATCACCAACTTGCCCTCTTGTAAAGACCTTTACTGGTTCTTCCAATTATGATTTGATTTGGTACCTTTTCATATCGTGAAGATATGCATACCTGCCTTTGTATGCATGCCACTTTTCCATATACTTCACATATTTATAGATCATTTTATGTAATCATAAACATTCATAATTTATATGCTTTAACATCATGCACATAAACATATGAATATGTAGAAAATAATAGTGTCTTATGGCTTATTAATACAAATCCTTAACCTTGTAAGCTTTAAATAAATCATTACATACACTTTCTCTTACACATCAAAATAATAAATTTCATATTTAATGTCAATGAAACCATTTATGAAAATCTCTGATATGTGGTGTATGAAAATTTGGAATGAAATCATGAATTACATACTAATGAAATTAATTCTTATGCAATTTTTCACGTTTCTTTCTTTCAAATACTCAAATAAGCATTCATACATCATTGCTTGAAAAATGCCCATGATACTCTATGTAATTAATCATATAGAATTTAAGAATAATCCTATTAATCATCTATCACATAATTTGTGAACATGAAATTAATTTTATCATCTTAATTAGAATATTAGTGCAGTTACGTAATTCTCCAAAACATTTATGCATAAATCCTAAAGTCTTAACTAAAGTTTTAGTAAAGAAATTTTTTTCTGGTCATTTAAAATACCAATTATGGTAAATTCGAATAAAATAAGAAATCTTGCAAATGCCAAATATAAATATCTGAGTGGAAATTACCTTAAAGGAAAGAAGTCACCCAGGAGAAGATAATTCATTACCCGTGTTAGTACAAGCATATCTTTTTCCAAAATTTGTCTATTGCGCTTGCATTGTGCTCAAATGTATCTCTCATGCCACAATCATACATAATATGGAAAGAAGTTTGTTGATCAATAGTTGAATAAACCTTTCTTTACTAAATAAGTATATGTGGTTGAGACAATATGCCAAATTTGATTCAAGTATATCCAAAATGTATTTCTTTGTTATCTGTGGATAAGTATTGAAGCCAGAAGATGCCATGCATAAGTTGGAACAACTTGTAATCTAATGATTCTAGAAAGTTCAAAAGTGGCATAGGGGGAACAACACAAAAACTTTTTGTAATAAAAATCTTATGCCTCAAGGAGCACATGGCTGTAGTCCTGCACCACTTCATCTTCAATAAATCATTGAAAAATAAATGTTAACCTAACTACTATAGTGTTCTAATAACTCTCTCAATCTATATAGGCATCTTATCTAAATATAGCCTTTGTGAGCGGACTAACTCACATCCTCTTCTTAATAGAAATTATTTAACTCACATAGTTAGAAATTGCATAGGCTTTAGGAGCCTCAACGGCTATTGTACCACATCAATTTTAATTGTTAGTATTTCATTGAAAAGGATTGTTATCCAAATCATTGCAATATTATTTCAACTCCCTAAATTTTATATCCATCTCACATGAATGCTACATTTAAGTATTTATTTTCTAGTTAATTTCACTTTTAGTTAAAATTTTTGAATGATTCTATAATATAATTCATTTTATCGTTCATTATGGCATTACAAAATAAATTCTTCCATTGAACCCTTATTTGATAAATTCCTAAAATAGCACTCCTATCTTTTCTTAATTTCTTTATCTTAAACTAAGATGCCTTTTCTTCTTTTCAAATGCATCTAACTTGATTAATATCTCTAGGTCTTTCATCTTAGTCATATATATCTCATTTTTCATTCCTTAGAATTACGCCTTCTAATAATTATCAAAAGTTATAGCTTCTACTTCTCTTACAAAACTCTTTGCAACTTCAAGTTTGCTTATCATCATCCAAAGCCTGGTTATAAATTAATAATAATAAGCCATTTTAGGAATACATAGAATGGGAACTGCCGATATTGACTCAACATCTGTGATGGTCGGTTTTTGTCATCTCACTATGAATGTTGACGCTGGATCCTCTCTCAAGTCAATGAGGCATGTTTTTTCATACTTTTTGTTTGCAGAGTTTTGTTTTTGTGTTTCACGGCATTGTAGGCCATATATGGCTCTCTTCTAAAACCATCATTGTCACTAGATCAATGCAGTGCGCTATCCTTTACAAGCATACTGATTTTGATGCTCAAATTTTCTTCCCTGCATTTCTTTAGATTTTCTCATCTGTTATTGTTGTTTTTTATGTCCAATGGCTACACATGAATTCATTTTTTTTCTCATTTGTCTTAATTTTCTTTTGTAGGCCATAGCCTTGAAATTAGCCCTTATGTACTTCATTTTAGATGCATGTATCCTTTCAGTCTATCTCTGAAGATAATATAAATTTTGCATTCAATGCCTCTCATTTTGAATTGAGGTGACTTAACAAGTCAAGACAGAGTGTCACTTTCTGTAGGAAGTAAAGGTACCCGGGTCTCGTCAAGGAGTGGTTTGGAGTTTGCCTGGACATGCTTAAAGGTATATTTTAGTGAAATGAAAATGACTCAACTTCTAGTGTTTTTATTGCCCCTTGAATTTGGGGCATCTTATTTCATCTGAATATTCTATTGAGATGTTCTAAATTACAGGTATTGCTGAATGTTCTACTTGGAAATCTTATGCTTGTATCTGTTTTGTGGATTGGGATAAGGATTCTGCTCAATTTGAATTATCATATATGCAGGTCTTTTTCAATACTTTAAAAGTTGCATCATGACCTTGTTATATTTCGGTTCACTATGCTAGTTTGCATCTGCTTTCATTTATTTCCGGCATATTTGTGATGATTTAGTTAAGAAACTCAGTCACTTAGTTTCTAGTTATTTTAGATTAGCCTACCATTTCTCCTTGCATTTTAACATTAATCCTGTCACCCAATTTACTCTGTTTTTCTCTCTACTTGACTCTCTTTGAACCTAGTATATACTTACGTCTTTTATAAATGATTTCTTAAATAGTTCTTTAGAAAATTGACTTCCTTGTGGTAGCTTTGTCCACCAAACTTGTAGATGTTGATGAGTAGGGAGAAGGGGACGTGGATATATATTTAGCAACTACATGTTGTAATGACTTACATTATTTATGGAATTTATTTGAATTCTTACATAATTTTATGTGATTAAGCCTGTAATTCTCACCGAAGTGAATTATTTTTTATTTTAATATCTTAATAGGTACAGAGAAATCCTTTTGGCGGTTCTTGTTTCAAGCTACTTTAAGATGTTCCTCTTAGCCATGATGGTATATGCAATTCCTGACACGTTTTAGTTTACTCTAGAAGAAAACATTTCATCATTCCTTATAATTATGAGGCTATCAATTATTACCTCTGGAGCCTTTTTCTCATCTCTTCCTAGCACAGGTCTGGGATTTTCCTTCTGCTTCTATTTTCATCGTGGACATCTTTGTTCTATCTTTGAACACGGTCGCTTTAAGAGGTTTGAGCTTGGTTCTTGTGAATTTTGATTCTTTAGTGCATTTATCTAAATTTCCAATAGAATCATATTCTTGAGGGAAATATGCATACACAGCACTCAGTTCTCATTTATTTACATATCTCACACCTAAACTTTCATATTTGCATACATAGTACTTTGCTGCTTTCAGCCCATGCATGAAAAATGTGTATTTCACTCTTAAAAGTGGTAATAGTGCTGTTAAAGATTTTAATTCGAGTGCTATGCGTGTAAATATGAAATTTTAGGTATAAGATATATAAATACATAAGAAATGTGTGCGATGGATGTAAATGCTCCTTTTCTTTGTAGAATATAAAATGACCATGTGCCATGCTTAAAGCTCCATCGACATGGGATCTAGGGATGGGTTGACATCCATTCTCTTTTGTGGAATCTAAACCATATTACCAATCACTTTGTCTTGCGTTCATTGGCATATGCATTACTTTAGCTGAAATCCTGTTTCCAAATTTTATTTTTCAGTTTTAACACAATTGGGGACCACTGCATGCTTTCTGCTCTGCTTCAGTTCCCATGGTGCCAAATTTATAGCTTCAGACTGGCTGCTCCTTTTGTAGGTTTTTAGGCACTTGCAATTTGCTTCATGTTTATGGACTGTTTTTATTCTGCCTTCTATTTGTATCCGTTTTTGTTATCATTTTATGTGACATTGCTGTTTGTTAAATTACTTGCATTGCTATGACTTATCTTCGCCATCTTGAGTGATATGCAGCTGGTAAGTTGGTTTCTGTATAAGTAATACAATTATACCGTAGAAACAAGATCCTGGCTCATCTTCACCTTTCTGTCAAAGTTAAAGCATTCCTGTGCCTCTGTTTCTTAGACCTTTTAATTTGTTCATGAACAATTTACCCTTTTTAGAATGATTTGGAAGGCTTATCACAGCCTTACCCACTATACACCATTGACTGTCAAAATGAAGGGGAAAGAGAAATAAAAAAATAAATTATATTATTAAAATCAAATTAATTAACTTAAACAATTATTTCTCCCACATCTTCTCTTGAGAAAATATTGGATACCGACCACCGGCGACCACGTCGCCATACATGACATGTCATCGGCGGGGGACATGGCCGTCGGTGGTCGGCCGTCTAGAGTCCGGATAAAATATTTCTTAGAGCCAGCTCAAAGTAATAATTGTTCTCTCATTCATGGCTAGTTACAAATAGATGAACATACCCATTTTCCCATTCGATTCACATTGTTTCCTGTCATTCCACACTCCTCTTTCTGTTGAATTGAAATAGCAACAAGCGAAGGCTCGATTCCTCTCTTGCAATCAATTCCTCATAGTTCTTCTCCACTGTCTCCACTATTCTCTCTATACTTCGTTCATTTTCCTGTTTGTAATCCACATGCGGACAAGTTAAATCTCTTACTCTATTGCCTCAACATTTCTTCTTTATTATTTGCACTGTCTGTGTTTTGTCTATTCGAAACCACAAGCCTTTCTCCACTTAAGAGGCTGCCCCAGCTGACTGACTATTTATTTTTTGTAGTTTGAAAACAGTCGTGTAACAACTGTTTTTGGACAAATGATATTTCTGTACTTGTATAGTAATGTTATTTGTAACATAACTGTTATAACAATATATTTGATACTTGAGAAACAAAAAATTCACTTCAATACAAAAATTAACCCATACACCTCACTTAACAATGAATATTAAAATTTCTTAAAAAAGAAAAAGAATTATTAAAATTACATTTAATAATATGATGTTATTTTTAAAATGCAAACGGCATATGCTACAAGTTACGTCGTCCTCCAGAGATGCAATCCATTCCTGATTACTGTCGGCAGTGAAATTTGTCAGATTGTCTGTCTACCGGAAGTGATTCTCCGCGGGCATCTGTAGAACTGTTTCTCGTAGCAATGTGCTTGACGTGACATTAATAAGGAAGTCTGAAGTCCTCAGTGACAAAGCAATCGTCGGGAGCTCCATGAAATCATGAAGCTCATCTTTTCTGAATGCTACAAAAGACAATCCATTGGTCATAACACAAGTTGAAATTGTTAAAAGGAGTAATTAATTACAGTTTTTTTGCAAGTGTGAGGTCTCAGAGAACTCAATCTACCAAGCAATGAATCTGTCACTACAAGAGGATAATAGATATGGTAAAAAAAAAATTCATTGTTGTCCTTAACTCACGTAAAACCAAACTTGTGTGTGTCACATATGCATATCACCAAAACAGACAATCCAGAAGATTCTCAAAAGCCATATCGCCGAAAAGAAGATAGGAACTTAGTTGCCTGCATTAGAATTTCATATGTGACACCAACTAACAACGACTAACAGACCATCCAAAAGAATTCATAAGGTCAAACTTCTCATCATGAACCTCTCAATCCTATTAAAAGAAAAACAAATTAAATAAAAATAGAAAAAAAAACACATTCGAATAGGGTAAAAAGCCCATTCAATCAATATCCAGTATATAAGGAACACAAATAAATAAGAAGTGTACAAAATAAATAAGTAGAAATTAATAAAAAAAATAATTGCAATTTTGTGCAACTGTGAGGTTTCAAAGAACTTAGTATACCAACAAATGAATCTGTCACTACGAATTTGTCGCAACAAGAAAATAATAGACTTTATAAAAAAAGAGTTCTTGGTTGTCTTTAATCCACATAATACCAAGCTCGTATCTGTCACATATGCATATCAATAAAAAAAACCTTCCAGAAGAACCACAAAAACTGTTGCACTGAAAAGAAGAGAGGAATTTGGTTGCTTTCATTAGGATTTCACATGTGACACCAACCAATAACAACTAACAGACCATCCAGAAGAACCCATAAAGTCAAATGTCTTATCATCAACCGTTCAAACCCACAAAAAAAAAAAAAAATGAAATGCAAATGAAAAAAAAAAACCACTTACAAATAGCATAAATAACCCAAACAGACAAAGAAATAAAAATAAACATAAACTTAATAAAATATAAATAGTACTAAATAAAGTACAAATAATAAAATAATAAATACTCCAATCACCCTCCTACTATCACACAAGTAATTTGCTCTCTCAACTATGTCATATCACATGCACCTTTCCCGTCTGCAGTACATGTGGTAGAAGTATCATTCTCATGCTGTAATAAAAAATGCCCAAGACGATACTCAAATGCTTTGACATGTACATGCTCATAATCTTTGTCCGCCCGTCGGAAGTTGATGTCGTTGTAGGAAGGATTACGCTGAATGAAATTGTGAGCGTTATTGTGACAATCAAAATCTGCACTTGTTTGGAACACGTGTAAGATGACATATCGCGCAGTATAACTCATTTATTCTTCAAAATATCGAAAGTCTTCTCAATGACAACGCGTAAGGAGAAATATTTTTTATTGAGCATTTATTTTCTACCTCATGTTACATTGCTTACTGGTTCAAAGTCAGGTATGTGATATCTCATATTATGATAGAGCTTGAGATACTCTCGTTGCAACAAATATTCAACATCAACTAAGTAATATTTATCTAATATGCACTTCATAACTAGTTTTGAGGTAAAGTTGAATTACGAAAGTAGTCAAGTCTCAAGCGTAGCTACAGGAGGATGTGAGAAGTTGTACTTATTATTCCGCGTTGCAGCTTTCAAAATTCTACTGGCATGTGCATTGCCCTCCCAACCGGTCATGACAAAAGTGAAACACATGTTGAACTCTCACACAACCATGCATTATGCGTTGGGGACCCGCAACGGCCGATGAATGCGATCTTCTCATTATTTGAAACTTGTGCATCAACATATGTTTCATCGATTGCTCCAATTCTGGGAAAGATAATGATGAGTTACATGATAACATTGTTTTTTGTAAATCGAATGTAATAAATTTAGGACATTACCTTAAATAATGACATGTACCGTGCATCGTGTCAAAATCTATGAGGGTCAGTTCGAAAGTTGGCTCTGTTGGCTTTATAACTTGTGCTGAAAAACTCAATAAGTGCCTTCAACCCCATTTAGAAGTATCTACATATTGTCTCAGAGGAGTGCTGAAATCACTCCATTGCGTCTCACATTGATTTATTCTGGAATAATACGTAAAGGGTTATCGTCAACACCTTTCGCAAAGTTGTTCTTGAAGAGCCATGAAATCCATGATTCTCGTGTAGTTCCTCTAACATATTGTTGAATACCTCTTGTATCATACATAATATATTGTTGAATCTTGTTGGGTGCCCCGCAAACAACTCCAGAACCCATTTGTCCCAAACATATGAGGCTTTCATGCAGGGTAGCAATTTATGTAGGAGTTGTAATACTCGTACATCATGCATATGACAGTTGCAACTCTCATTCTTTGTCTTTCTCTAGTTGCATCCATGTATATCAGTATCACAATATCACACTAGCTGACACATAAACATCAATAAATTAGCTACAATTACATTGGATACGAACATCACAATAAACATATAAGCATCACTGAATAAGACAAGCACTAAGCAATTAAAATTTTAATAGCAAAATAAAAAACAATACAGAAACATATATATTCCAAGCGAATGTAACAAAAAAAAAGTTTATTAAATGTTCCTGTGATCATAAAAATGTCATAGGTACGCCACCCTATGGTTTTCGGGAATCTTGACGAAAAAATCTCTACGAGTCAGATCTTCAAGCAACTCTATCTCAAACAAGTACAATGACAAATCCTCAGAAATTTTCCTATTTAAATTTGCACGACCTGGTCGATAGAATTTGCTTGAGATGTGTAGGGTCTCTGCAGGAAGCCACCAACTGTGATATTTGACTTCAAAGGAAAGCAACCTTAACCTTTTTTTTATTCTCAACCCGCAAACGCTTAGAACGACAGGTGGACTCAAGTTCATGGAGGTCTGGGCTGAGGACTTTGGTTGAATCATCTGATTGGTCGGCTCCCAAGTTCTCGGGGGTGCCACCAAACACTGTTTTACTGGGGGCACATGCATTGTTGCCCGTAGCAATGACACTCCCAAACATTCGATCTAACTTATCCTCTAACTCAGGATCAAGTCCACAGATTTTAAATTTCTTTGCAACGGACACAACTTACAAATTCATAACATCTACTTTAATTTAAAAACAAAATAAACTTTATCAAATTAGGGGACATGTCAAAAAATGATTACTGCAAGTTTTTCTGCCCATCACTCATTGAGTATCAATGGTGCACTCCACCGGATCTCACCTAAGGCCCGTTGATCCTCGTTTTAATTCTTTCCAAAATTTTCAATCATTTTTGAATTAATCTCACTTGCTTTTCAATTGCATCATGTCGTACTCTCTGCTAGTACTTTTTTTAAAATTTTCTGATAATATTTTCCCACCATTTCTTGTTGAAAAAGGTGATAGGCCTATCTCCAAGGTCGATCCCTTTCAAACAAAACGTAAAAAAATATATTATTTTTGTTTATTTATTCCACATTGCGGGTGCATCAACCTCTTTGATCTTAGTCATTGTATTACTACGATGAAAATAACAAAGTTGCATAAATGAAAATCCAACAATATATGCACATGCTAACAATCAATCACCCAACCCACAACCACCATCCCAACCCACAACCATATGCCCCAACCCACAACCACCACCCCAACACTCCAACCCACAACCACCACCCTGACCCACAACATATGCCCAAACCCACAACCACCACCTTGACCCACAACCATATGCCCCAACCCACAACCACCAAAATCATATGCTCCAACTCACAGCCACCACCCCAATCACAACCACCACCACATAACCCAAAATCATATGCCCCAACCCACAACCACCACCCAAACTCAGAACTACCACACAACCCATAATATTGACCAACACAACACAACCTACAACACTAGCTATCACAACAGAACTCACAACACCGACCAACACAACACAACCCATAACACCGACCAACACAACACAACCCACGACCACTACACTAGCCAACACATCAACATAGCAAATCATAATCACAACCTAATACTGGCCATCACAACCCAACTCATATCATTGATCAACGCAAGACTGACCAACACAACAAAAGCCACAATATTGTCCATCACAACACAACTCACAGCCACAACCAACAGCAAACCACAATACTAGCCAATACAACACCACCCACAACACTGACCAACACAAGACAACCCACGACCACAAAACTGACTAACACAACAACACAAACCACAACCACAAACCCACAACACGACCAACACAACACAACCCACAACACTGACCGACACAACACAACCCACAACACTGACCGACACAACACAACCCACAACACTGACCGACACAACACAACTCACAACACTGACTATCACAACACACCCACAACCACAACCTACAATAGACCACAACACTGGCCAACACAACACAACCCACAACCACCACAGTGGTCAACAACAACCACAACAGTGGTCAACACAATAGCACAACAAACCACAAACACAGCCTACCACCGATCATCACATCACAACACAACCTACATTACCGAGCAACACAATACAACCTACAACATTGACCATCATAACACAACCCACAACCACAACCAACGGATAACCACAAAACTGATCAGCACAACACAATCTATAATACTGCAAATCATCACACCACACTACTGCACTGGCCAACAAAACACCACAACAATCCAACACTGGCCAACCACAAATTCAGGCTATCACAACAGAAATCCAACACCACAACACAACAAACCCTACTATTCTCTTAAATTTACAACAAATAGAAACACCACACCACCGCCTCCATCAACACCATCAAAAACCAACATAGACATAAACAAAATCCAACAAGACATCAAAATCCAACAGAAATGAGAAACCAAAACGACCTATGCGAGAAAGGATAGAGAAAGGGGATACCGGATTCCAGAACGAGAGGTTACGACAGAAGAAGCTAGAGATCGCAGAGGAATGTTAGGGCAGACGATGAAGCGAGCAATCGCAGAGAAAGGGCTGGGCGGAGGGGCAAGCGGGTAATGTATATGCGATCCACGTTTTACTTAAAAATGCCCCTCGACGTAGTAATACCGCTGCCTCAAAGGACGGATTTTCGCGGCTTAAAGCCGCGCCGAACACCGCCCCAAACGGGGTCTCTTCCTCTTAGTTCGAGATCGCATGGAGCCGCTCGGTCCTCCACTTTCTATACCGCGATTCAGTAGCGGAACCCCTTTATTGTTCTCCCTCTCCGTTGTCGTAGTCCTCACAACTCTGCTTTGTTCTCGTGAGCCTGAACCCTGACGTTCCTCCTAAGCCCGATCTTCCTCTTCCCCTATTCACGTGAAACAAATAAGGGAAGCCCTCACCGACCCTTCTTCCTCCTCATATTGAAACTCTGCGCTCGAGTTCCCCTTCACCGACGTTGCACTAACGCGCTGACCTGCCTCTTCTCTGTCTTTTTTTGCTCTGATTTCCGCACCAAAAAATTGGTTGTTGCGACCATTTCTTCCGTACCGTCGTTACAAGTCTCCTTCTGGCATTGCCCTAGCTTCCCACTGGCACGGCTCCCTCCGTGCAGACCCTATCGCCTCGTTGCCGCGCCTCCCACGCACGAAAAAGTATTACGGCCAACCGTCATGTCGCCCGACGCCGACGTGTACGGCGATGTGACGCCCGACGGTTGTAGGTTCGGACGTAAAATTCGCCCTCCACACACCGATCCTCTGCCCTAGCTCTCGCGATCCCACTTGGTAACCTGATCCCCTCCTTCAAGCCCAACCCGATTATTTTTACTCTGCTCGAGCTCACTGTAAAATCTAGTCGAGCCATTTCACTGTACTGTGCATTTTCTTTTATATTATTATCCTGTTGTGTGTTGTATATATTATGTTTAAAAATGAAGAAAGTTTGTGATGTATTGTTATTTCTTAATGTTGTGCTGTCCTCAACGCCATCAACGGCACAATATTAAGAAATAATATAGATTAGGGTTAAGCTTGCTTGGGTCAAAGTTTGGTGAATGACAAAATGAATTAAATGTGAAATATAATAAATTGGGGCTTAGTTTAAGACATAAATGTTATTTTTTAAATGCTAAAATGAAGAATTAATATTTTAATTTCGCTACCAAATTTGCAATGTGTCTGCTAGCAAACAAAAGACATAATTTTAAAGCTTCAAATGAATTAAATCTGAAATATAATAAATTAAGATTAAGTTTAAGACATGTTATTTTTAAACACTAAAATTAAGAATTACTATTTCAATTCTTTACTGAATTCACAATGAGTCTGCTAGTGAATAGAATACAATCATTTTAAAGCTTCAAATGAATTTATGTAAATGCAAGAACATTTTTTAAAGTATTTCAAAATTTAAGTAATTTCAAGGCATATCAATTTCAAGAATACTTTCTAAATCAATATAGAATGCAATATTTGGCGATCAATGAAATTATTGTGGAATTTACATGAGTTGAAATTTGGATACTCCTAATAAATCAGTTATGTATGATTTCAAATTGCTGCATATGCTTTTTTATGAAATGAATTGTTTCTCAAACACATTTTAAATTAACATCTAATTCATTCAATGTATGTAAGATCTTTGAAAGTAAGCTAACATATAAAGTCAAACACCTGCATGTGCTCCAACAAGTATATTGAATGATGAAATATTAGATTCGAGAATGTTTTATAGACAAAATATTAGATTCGAGAATGCTTTATAGACAAATCAGACTGGCTTGTCTATAGGAAAAGATTGTAAGTTCCACCCTACTACTCCGATTATCTTCGTAAGGATTGGAGTTGACGAGCCTATTAATTTTGAAATAATTGTTCTAATCCTAAAGATAATAATTTACAAGTCCAAATAAATCAACCTGATCCTGCTCATGGCAAGAACTAAAGTTGACGAATCTAATATTTTTAAAACAAACAACTAAATAACAAGTTGAAATCACCCACTAGTCACTATAGAGGGAGGAGGAGGTTACTTGTTTTTGAGCTAAAGAGATATGAGGGATCTCGTGCGGTATTTTTTCGCATGTAGAAGGCTCGAGCGGCCTTATCCGAGCGAAGAAGAGGGAGGGAGAGGCATTCGTGCACTAACCGAGTCGCAAAAGAGGAAGGAGAACTCCTGCGGTTTGTTAGAAGCTCAATTGAGAGCTGGAAGAGGAAGGAGGGTTCTCCCTGTCGTGTGACTCGCCGAGAAAGGAGGAGGTGGGTTGTCCAACTTGTATGACTCGAAGAGGAAGGAGGAGAAAGGAGGATTGAGCGACCGGTTTGAAGCATGATCAAGAACTTAGGGAGGAAGAAGAGATCGCGGGATTCATCTGCGTATGAGGGGGGAGCTTTGTTTGCGTGAAAGGTTCGATCGAACCCTTGGCTCGATTCCGCTTTTAGGGCAAGGCAAAGGAATAAAGTGTAAGAATTTAATTTAATTTGTGTTAGTTTAATTTAAATTATTTAGTTATTAATGTTAAGTAATTTAAATTAAGTTATGAAATGAAAATCCTAATGTTTACTCTTTCAACTTTAGGGTTTCGTCGAAGCTGGGGTAGAAAAGGGGAAGACAACTTCAGGTATAAATTTGATTTCAATAATGACGTATTATTTTCTTATTAAGTGATGTTATAATGAAATTAAGGATCCTAAATTTAAAATTTAACATATTGTTGTTATGTTAGGTATGCAAAAACGGAAAAAATTTAGTAGTTTTAACATAAAACGTAATTTGTATATGCATATATATATTAATATTACATATATATGCATATATGTTCATATGGGTAAAAAGAGAGTTAATTGAATAAATAAATTATGAAAATACTAATAGAGAATCTAGAATTAATAACATAGAAGATGAACATTGAATAAGAAATTGATTTCATTTAAATTTTTATTATAGGTGTACGTAAGGACTAGAATGACCTGAGGAAAAGGTTAGCAGAAGATACTGTTAAGGTAACATGTTTTTACTTTACAATAGTTCTGTTGATTTACACATGTTTTATTGTTTCTGATTTTTATTTTTAAAATACAAAAAAATACATGTTTCTTTTAAATAGTAAATGCAAGTTTTTTTTAATGATAAATGAAAAATAAAAATGAATAAAATATGATATATGCATGAATATTAGTTACCCCTGAATGGTACTAACACGGGAATGTATTGTACCCGTACATGAAATGAAAACGGAAATGAAAAAAAAATGAAAATTAAAAAGGCAATTTGCCTTTATAATTGGTTGAAAAATGTTAAACGTATAATTTTATAAAATATACATTTAGCCGGTGACTCTCAATTATGAAAAGTGTGATCTAAATGAAGCAATATAAATAAAATTATTTTATTTACTGCTCTCTTTTACTGTACAATGTTTTATTTTTCTTGCTCTTTTACAAAAAATATTTTAAAATAAGAATCATTATAATTTAAAATTATTTATCCACTAAGTAGTTTTAACTCAAACTATAGTTGCTAATATATTTACAGGAAAATCAATTGTAGATTAGATAAATTACAGGGAGCACGTGTACAAACGTCGTGGAGTGCCAGTTGATAGGTATTGTTGTTTAGTTTTTTTCAATCTGAATGTGAATGCTTAAATATGAATAATCTATTGTAAATGTAAGTTGTATGAATTAGAATGACTTTTGTGTTTTCGATTTTTATTTTTTGTGATGAATTTAAATTGTTAGTTATGTTTTCTTCATCCAACCGTTAGTTGCCGCCTTGGTATTTCTAAGCTCACCGGATCGGGTTGTGACAAGGGTGGTATCAGAGCCCAGTTAAAAGTAGTAAGGAAGTGATCATAAAAGTGCAATTAGAAAAATCATTAATATTTATTAAGACAATTAAAAAAATTAAGTATTTATTTTAATAATTTAAAATTATGTTATCTCAGGGTAATTGATTTTGACCCGGAAAATACATGAAAATTATAGAGATGTAAGAGGTGTTGATTATCAGGATCTGGTGCATTCAACACATACTGATCCTCCATCCAGTGGTGCTAGTATCCCTAGGGAGGCGTTTACTCAGATGATAGCTACAATGACATGACTTATTTAGGGTTCTCAAACCCAGGCAAGTGGCAGTGAAATAGCTCAGATAGATAAATATCCAAAGTTATTTCAGGACATGTGACGACCACCATTCTCTGGAGCACGAGGGCCAGTTGAGGTGGAGAACTGGTGGTTGAGGGTAGAGAAAATTATTGAGGTTTTGTCATGTCCTCGGAAGAGGAATGTTACATTAATTGCTTTTATTTTCGAGGGGAGAGCAGAGAGGTGGTGGCAGGGCCAGCTTCAGGAGAAGTTTAGCGGACGACCCACTAGTCAGATATAGTGGGAGGACTTTGTGAAGTCTTTTCGTGACTTTTTCGTTCCTCTTTCAGCCAGGAGTCAGATGCAGGATTAGTTCATCAGACTGTTGTTGGGCGACGGATCCCTTATGCAGTATAAAGTTGAATTCACGATGCTATCCAGATATGTGCCTTAACTGATCCTAAATGCCGAAGAAAAGTGTCACCGATTTTTCTCTGGATTGAAGGATATTATTCGACAACCTTTAATTCCTCTTGGCATTGAGGATTACTATGTTCTTGTGGAGATGGTAAGGAGGATAGAGATTGATTTACTGGTTACGCAAAGACGTAGAGATTTTTAGAAGAGGATAGGAGATGACAGGTCTAGATTGGGACAAACCATCTTGTCTGTCCAGTCTAGACAGTCTAGTATGAAGAAGTCTCGACCCAGCAACAGTGGTACTGGTAATGACGCTGGCAGTAGTAGCAGCAACAATATGATTACTTGTTCCAGGTGTGGAAGGATACATAGAGGAGAATGTTTGTGGGGCACCAACATATGTTTTTGTTTCCATCAAGTCGGACATATGGCGAGGTCGTGCCCTATGTTAGGACAAAGACCTTAGGTTGATGCCAGGGCTAGTGCTCCATCTATTCAGAAGACTTTTGGAAGACAGAGGACGACAGAGTGGTCAGGATCAACTCCAACGTCGAGTCGGACCTATCAGGGTGTGCAACCATGAGTATATGCACTGACTTAGCAAGAAACAATTGATTCACCTGACGTCATTACATGTATTTATTTTGTGCAGAAGATTTGCCAAATTTTTATTATTGCGAGACTTTTATATGTTGCTTATTATATGTTTCATATTTATTCAAAACAATTTGGTCTGAACCTTATTTGATAATGGGGCATCACATTCATTAATCTCAGAAGAGTTTGTGAACTCTGAACGATTGGAAGCTTTCAAAATACTCGATGTCTTATCAACTCTTCTACCTAATGGATCTTGCATGGTGGCTAATAGAAGCTGTTGTATGAATCTGAGCATCTGGGATAGAAGCTTCAATGCTAATTTGATAGTGCTATCACTTATCAAGTTTGAAGTGATCCTAGGGACGGTTTGACCATCTAATCACTCACAACTATTGATTATTCTAAAAAAGATAGTTAAATTCAGTATCCATGGAGAAGAACAATTCAAGTTTGTCGGTGATTGAGGAGTCATGTCTATGATGGTATCCATTTTAAAGGCATGCAAATTATTAGCAAAAGGGTATTAAGGCTTTTTTGCTCAAGTCATTGATATGATGAAAGAATCAAAGAAGTTAGAGGATATGCCAATAGTGAAGGAGTATCCATAAGTCTTCTTAGATGATTTGCCAAGTTTGCCTTCAAGAAGAGAGTTATATTTTTCTATCAATTTAATGCCAGTTGAAGAACCGGTGGCGAAAACACCTTATCGAATGACAATCAAGGAGCTACAAGAGTTGAAGAGTTAGTTGCAGGACTTATTGGAGAAGAGGCTCATCAAACTAAGCACTTCCCCTTGAGGAGCTCCAGTGTTTTTTGTTAAGAAGAAAGATGGGAGCTTAAGGCTATGCTTTGATTACCGAGAATTAAACAAGATCACAATCTAGAACACGTATCGTCTGCCAAGGATTGATGATCTTTTTGATCACTTAGAAGGAGCTTCAATGTTTTACAAGATTGATCATGCTCAGGTTATTACCAATTGAGAATTAAGAATATGATATCACAAAAGCAGCTTTCAGCGCCAAATATGGGCATTATGATTTTGTTGCAATGTCTTTTGAGTTGTCAAATGCAGCTGCAATCTTTATGAACAGAATCTTCAAATCATTTATGGATAGATTTTTTATAGTCTTCATCGACGACATATCAATCTATTCCATTGATGAGATTCATCATGCAGATCATCTTCACACTGTATAGTAGACGCTAAAGGAGAACCAATTGTATGCTATGTTGTCAAAGTGTGATTTCTGGTTAAGATGCATAAAATTTTTGGGCTATATTGTTAGCAGTGAAGGTATCACAATGGACCAGAATAAGATTAAAGCGATAGCTAATTGGCCCAGACGAATCACTGTTACAGAAGCTCAGAGTTTCTTAGGTATGGCGGGTTATTACAAGAGATTTATTAAAGAGTTCTCGCAGATCACAATGCTTTTGTTTAGCTCGACTCAGAATGTGGTGAAATTTGAATGGACAGACTGCTGTGAGGAAACTTTCCAGAAGTTGAAGATGCATTTGCTGACAACTCCAGTATTGACTATCCCCTCAGGAATAGAAGACTTCCAGATCTATAGTGATGCATCTTTAATGGAACTTGGGTGTATACTTATGCAACATGGGAAAGTAATTTCTTATGCCTCTAGACAATTGAAGAATCATGAAAAGAATTATGACACATGATTTGGAGCTTGTAACGGTTGTATTTGTTTTGATGATATGAAGGCATTATTTGTACAGTGTCAGATGTGAAGTGTTACAAATCACCAAAGTTTGAAGTCTATTTGCACCCAGAAGAAGTTAAATTTAAGGCAAAGAAGATGACTTGAGCTTATCAAAGATTATGACTTGGATATACAATATCACTTGGGGAATACAAATGTTGTAGCGGATGTGCTTAGGAGGAGCGCAATTGGCAGTGCTAACTGGGTAATTACACAACAATAAGAGTTGATTAAAGATATTGAGCATTTATAATTTTCATTAGTGATGCCAAATGATAAAATATTTGCTCAGTTGAACCAGATATTCATTCAACTAACTTTGAAGGATAGCATACGAGATGCATTGTCAGATGATGTAGAGTTTCAGAAAACATTCAACTAGGTAAATGCAGGGCAATTGGAGAAATATGAGATCGATGAAGAAAAGTTGTTGAAGTATAAGGGTAGAATTTGTGTTCCTGGTGTGAATGATTTAAGCAAAGAAATCCTGCATGAGGCACATTATTCAAGATGTACAATACATATAAGATGTATCAGGAGCTTAAGGGTTTATTCTGGTGGCTAGGGTTGTAGCGCAGTTTAGTGGAGTTTGTAGCAAAGTTTCTTACCTGTTAGATGGTTAAGGATAAACATTAAAAGCCTTGTGGGTTATTATAATCGTTGCATATACTAGAGTGGAAATGGGAGGACATTGCTATGGACTTTGTGACGAGGTTATCAAAATGAAGGCAGGTTCGTGATGCTGTATGAGTGATTATTGATCGTTGGATCAAGTTTTGCACATTTCTTGCCTATCAACAGATAGATTCTGTGGAAAAGTTTGCCAGAATTTATGTTGATGAAATTGTATGATTGTATGGAGTTTCAAAGTCTATTGTTTCAGATCGAGATGGTAGATTCACATCCAAACTGTGGAGGAAAGTTCAAGTGGCTTCGAACACTCAACTAATATGCAATACAACTTTTCATCCCTAAACAATCCAAATATTGGAAAACTTGCTTCGACGTTGTGTTCTTAATTTTGGTAGAAACTGGGAAAAGCACATGCCTCTAATAGAGTATGCCTACAATGATATCTTTCAGACTAGTATTGGTATTATTCCTTATAAATCCATTTATGGAAGAAAATGCAGGACACCTCTTTGTTGGGCAGAAACGGGTGAAAGGAGG